CACAAACTGTCTGTGGCCCTTGGACCCAAAAAGAACAATTTTACTCTCATCAGTCCACAAAATGTTCCTCCATTTCTCTTTAGGCCAGTTGACGTGTTCTTTGGCAAACTGTAACTTCACTGATTGAATGCCACACTGCTATTTTTTTGAACACACCCCTTTCAACTAATTGCCCAATTGCACAGCCTTAAGAGCGTGCATATCATGAATGCTGGGTCTTGTTTGCTTTCTGAGAATCTACTGCACCTACTGGTAACTCGTTTGCCATGTAGCAATAAAAAATATACAAAAAACCTGGATTATTCTGGTTAGTCACATTGTACTGCTATTATTTTGAACAATACTGTATATTACAATGAGTATCAATAGTATTGTCAGCCATAATCAGTACTGAAGTGTCTGGATCCCCAGCAGCTGTAAGGAGCTCTCACTACAGGATTTTATTATAATCCTATTGCTTTTGATTCTAATATCTGTGTCATAACAGTTGAAGCTGTGATTTATCAAAATGTATGTTTAAAATTCATAAAAGCAAGTGAGAATTTATTTTTGAGGGGTCATGTTACTCACTACTTTTAGGAAGTTCCAGGAAAAAAAATGAATTCTTTTGACCTACAAGTTAAGTGTGTTTTGTTGCATGAATTAAAAAACTGGTTGTTTGGCCCTGCCATGTGAAGCTTAGGTCCACCAATCAGTTTTAGTCTGTCAAGAAAGGATTCTTAAACCATTTGTAGGCACTGTCAAGCATGTAGTGTGTACACTGAAAAACTGAGCATTTTGTGACAGATGGGATGGGAAGATAAAATTGAGATAGATGGTGTAGGACAATTTCTTCAGATGTCCTGGTCACTGATCAACTGCTACTAGAACATACATTCAATATTACACCTACAAGGATTTGTGTTCTATTTTAACCGGGCTGTTTTGTATAGGTTTTTCTTACCTCTGACTGTTTACATGCACCCTGGAAAGTATTGATAACATATTATGTCTGAATAGTAAGGCCCAGGAGACATAGGGCAGCATAAAACATCTTGTCTTGAATATTGCTTCACATACCAAATGCATGTAAGCATACTAACTGCAAACATGATGAATGTTACTTGTTACGATACAGAAACTGATTAAACATGAAACACACTCTCAGGCCGGTAATGCAGTCCAGGGTCAGAGCCAGCAAACTTACACAGCCAAGGGATCCACAAATGAGAGGTCAAAAAGGGAAGCCCAAAGGTCAATACACAGAAAACACGATCAGAATCAGAGGGGTCAGGCAGTACTCAGTGGTCACAAGGTAATCCGTGATCAGAGCTGGAATAACAGGTGCAAGAAAAATGCTGGAAAGTGTGAACAGGAGTTAGAACAATCTGGCAACTTCTTGGTGTGGGGAAGCTGCCTATATGCTGTTGTAGCCAGGTGTGAGTAATGAGAAGCAGGTGATACCAATGTAGGTGATGAGATAAAGTTCCCGGGAGTCAGGGTGAGCTGGGGACAGGAAATAGTGTCAAAATAAAAGCATGAGACCGGGAGCAGGTGGGACAGAATCATGACAGGATAGGAATGTGGAAACCCACCCCCATGGTCTTTAGAAACATTATATGATTGGATGAAAATGCTTGTACTAACCTTTTAACCTGCTTGAGAAAGTTAATTTTTTACAGAACTAGTAAAAAGAAATATTCCCAGGGTGGGGACTCATATTCTCACTGAATAACGAGGTTTATTTTTCATGCATTATTTACACTTTATCTTAAGTGACTGCTACAGTGTATGGAATGACAAATATGAATATGATTATGTGGAAATATAAATTTTTCATTGTGACAACCTTTGTTATCCTGTCACAGCTGTGCACTGATTATTTGTCTTATGTTTGTCTTTAATCTCATGGTATGTACAGGCTGACCATGGGAGACAATGCAATACAATTTATTATAGTAATAAAAGCATGATACATCTGAAATTTTATTGGCCCTGTACCTTTAGTTGTTTGAGGCAAGAAATGTGTATAATGTAAACAAGAATGTTTTCCCTAGCTGCCTAAATCTGAGAAGGACTGCTTCTGCTTTCTCTGAGAATCTGACATCTACAGTGATAAAGAAACAAGTTTAAGTCAGTCAAGGTTTGAAACAGATTTTTAATCTTGTTGCTATATACAGTACATACTGCATCAGTTTATAGCTACAAATAAAGGTATAAACATTAAATTACTACTGTAATCATTAAGATAAAATAGCTAACATTCCATTAAATCTATTAACAGCATTTCCAGGTGAAAATTATCAAATAGAATTTCCACAGTTATATATGTGTGTAAATGACTAGAAAATCACCTTTTATAGTAAAATAGAAAATAGAGAGATAAAGTATAAGCATACAGTAACTTGTCCTTAAGATTGGTTCAGAGATATTTACATAAAGAGTTCAGACATACAGTATGACATCTGATTTGAATTGCTGCCTGGTTTAATTGCAGTTGCTGCTGTGATCTGTGCTATTTTGCACCCCTATATGAGCTACACAGGAATGGCACATGAGGATGCAAAACAGGCACAGATAGAAGCTGCAGTACTGATCGAAAGTTATTTAGAGGTTGGCTAATTGTGTCAGGAATGACAACAGTCACAGCATGTGGCACAGTGATGCTGAGGGAGCTGCAGGGGAGTTGCAGTTCTCAACTTCTGCCATTAGTTCACTTATGAAGCCCTTATATTGAAAGCCTTATTAAAAGTGGTATATTTTTTTCATCTTTTGAAGAAAAGGCATATTATGGTCTGTTGGTCACCTTATCTGAATGATATCTGTTTACCTAACATGAAAGAGTTAGCATGCTCAGTGGACAGAGCTATGAACCACAGACTTCATCATGTTCATCCTCTCATCACGTCAGACCAAACCTCCGTCAGCCCATTATATACTAGTGAGCATGTGGCCTTGTATGGTGCATTTTCTGTGTATGTGCCATGTTTGTTTGTTAAATGTGCATGTGTGTGTGCTTGTGTCTACATGAGTGACTCCAGGCTCTCAGCAATGTTGGTCTGTCCTAGTGGAACAGATCCGTTAGTTTCTGGACTCTGCAAGGCTCTCTGGTCCTCCTGGCTGCTCACAAGGCTCAGCACACCTCGGTACAGATACTGGTATTGCTCCTGTAGAGCACAAAACACAGCTTTGAGACTGCATCTTCCATATAGTCATATCAAAACACATCTTACCTGACTCAGGTCCTACTACTTACCATATCATTAAATACCCCAGGCCTCATAAGGTTGGTCATCCGTGCCACCAGGTAGATGTCTACAGCTCCCTCCTCTTCCAGTTGACTGGACAAGGTAGTGAGAGCACAGAACAGCCCTGATGTCGCTCCTCCCAACCTACACACACCAAATGCAGCAAACCATGGAGCTCATGGTTTAGAAAATGTACCATCCTAAAGAAACAACAAACTGTCACGTCTAAATTATCCTGTCTGTGTTGTACTCACGGATCATGTACAACTATAGGTCCACCTGTGTGCCTACTGTGCTCTCTGACTGTGCTGACCAGGTCAAAACTGTTCCTGATAGGGCTGTCTGGGTTTGGCCAGCAGGGGGCATTGTACTGCCACACTTCCAACACATAATCGCTCTAAACGGATACAGAGAAAAAACAGAGAAGAGGGGTGAAGATGTGAGACAGACATACAAGTTTCTCAAGAGATTGTCTTTAAATTCGTGTACAGCAATGGTAGAAGTACTCAGATCCTTTATTTAAGTAAAAGTAGCAATACAAATGTGTAAAAATACTTGGTTACAATAAATGTTACCTACGTAAAAAGTACAAAAAAATTAGCATGAAAACATACTAAAATACTAAAAGTACAAGTACTCATTATGCAGAATCATATATTTCCCATTCCTGTATATCATATTATTGTGTTACTGATGTACTATTGTGTACATCACATTTAATGTTGCAGTTGGTAAAGGGGGAGCTAGTTTTAACTAGCTTATATGCATTTCATTTGAATTACTGCTGGGTAGCATGTGAATTTTCTACCATATATCAATGAGGTCTTATAATTATACTGCATTTTTTGTATTAATCTGGCTATAAAAAGTAACTAAAGTTAGAAAATAAATGTAGTGGAGTAAAAAGTACAAGATTTGCCTATAAAATGTAGTGAAGTCAAAGTATGAAGTAACAAAGAATGAAACTACTCAAGTACAGACACCTCAAAATTGTACTCAAGTACAGTACTTGAGTAAATGTACTTAGTTACTTTCCACCACTGATGCACAGGATGTAAAATGTACAATCTGTGTGAGTATGTTACCTGTGAAAATTTCACTGTAAAGTCCTGCACCAAAACTCTGTCATCATTGGAAAGAAACACATGCTCCTCCCCTGAATATGACACAGTGAAACCCTCAAAGCTCATTGGCTGGTCTTTACTGGGCCAGTAGACACAGTACTCCCCCTCTTCATTCTGAGATAAACAGGAAAACTCTTAAGAGCATGTATGATATGTCATTTTTTAAGTAATATACAAAGAGACAGAAAGGGAGAGATATTGTGTGTGTGTGGCATTGTTTATATATAGTTATGGGTATGGAACACTGGGAACACATTGCTTTGCAGGGACCAGAGCACATGAGTGGAGTAGAGCGGTGAGAATTTCCACTCACCTGCTTGTTCACCTGCTCTGCTCCCCCACTCAAAACTGCACCAGGCCACTCTGTTCATTATCAGTCAGTGTTCAACAGGGATTGCATGCAGGATCCACTCAAATTGTGCCCACTCACTCCAAAAATGGGAAATAATCTGTCTGTATTTCACCTTTAGCTTAAACCATAGCCTTACATCCCAAAGACCTAAATAACATTGAGTACTTTTTCCAAATAGAAATTATTTCAAATTACAGGGCATGTAATATATAACATAAAAAGTCATATGTAAAATTCAACAAATCAATGGACCTAATTAAATTTTAAAAAATGTACAGTACACCTATATGACATTTCAATTTCCTTTTTAAAGTACTTTAGGAACACCATTATTGAGCTTGCAAGTCAACGATTTTTGACTGAAGTGTTGGATGGCTATGCAAGACACAGATGCATTCTGGGTTGGACTGGGGCATGCTTCATTCTTGTGGTGTGAGCGGTACTGGGGCAAAATTTTAAAAAAGCCAGTCTGCACTCTGTCCAAAATCTGGTTTGGGATTACATAATCTTTGTGCATATCCCAAGGCAGTTAGGGTTAGGCAAGAATCCGAGGTGATTAAGGTTAGACACAAGTCCTTAAATGATTAAGGTTAGGCAAGAAGTCAGAGATGGTTATGGTTAGGCAAGAGGTACCAGGTGGTTAGGTTTAGGCAGACATCTTGAGATGGTTAAGCTCAGGCTAGTGTAGAGGTGATTAAGCTTAGGTAAAAGGTCTGAGATGGTTAACTACACAGTCCGTGAAGTTATGGTTAGGCAAGGACTTCAGTTGGGAAGTAATTCTAAGAAAACTGGGACAGTTAAAACTGGAACAGATCTTGAGTTAGAGTTTAGGATAAGTATTCAAAACTTTGATGTTATAGGAATCTGAAACTTGGTGAGTAGGCGTGGACCCAGGGGAATTATTTACTCATAAAATTTCATGCCCATTGGGTGGCATCATTCCTGAGATATGATTTTTTTTTTTAATGCTTAGATTGACTGGAAATTCAAAAATTAATAATAATAATAAATTCCTCAAATGGGAGCCTGTTTTGATCCTATTAGGTTTGTGAGAAATTCCTTTTTATTTTAATTTTTGAATGGGTAGAGGTCTGATTTGTTCTGTTAAATTGGGTGGTGAGCTCAACAATTCTGTTTTGAATTTGGGGGAACACATCATCAGTAGTAAGATTAGGCAGGTAGTGGTTCTATTTAAGGTTAGGACAAGTCTCCTGGAAATGAATGTAAGTCTTTGTAGGGACCCTGGAAATAAAGACCCCAAGGATGTGTGTGTGTGTGTGTGTGTGTGCATGTGTGTGTGTGTGTCTGTTATACCTGACAGTGTGTATCTTGCAGACGGACAACAATGTGCGTATTGTTTTCCCAAATCATTTTCCAGAAATCGGCCACTGTGCTGCTCAGAGGAGTCTGGCTCACTATAAACTCCTTACTGTGGTGGTGTCCCTGTAAAAAAAACACAAGCAGTATTAAATTACCTACATTTTTTTGATGTATCAAAACCAAAACAAGTGCTCTTTAATAAAATTGTAACAAATACAGAATTTTCAGTTGTCTTACCATGACATAGGAGGCATTTATGTAGCCTGTGGAGTTTGTTTCTGAAGCTGTCAGACAGACTCTTGATCTCTCCGCTATTCAAAAACACAGAAAAAATTAGCTATACAACACATAAAAATAATAATATTACAACAAGTGTCACCTAGTATTTCACTTCAGTTTACCACTGATATGAATGTGACCATATGTACAGTAACTTTTAAAACATGAGCTTCTCAGCCCCTGTTAACCCTAGTTCCTCTCCCTTCTATGGCAGAATATTTCCTAGGACCATGTTCATTATGGGGTAATTAAATAAGAATTAATTGTAATAATGTTTTGTGTACAATGTAAACTCTACATCAATTTTCATTAAAAAGGTTGTAAAAGTAGATTTTGACAGAGGCCTCCTTTCAAGACAGGATCTCCAGATAAGGTAATAAAGCAAGACCTTTAAGGTTCTCATCGTGTCAGCTGATATTTATTTGCACTTTGAGAGCAAACTTAGAATTACTCAAATTACCACAAACCAACTGCCACACAGTTATTTTGGTGGCCCTCTAGGTGGCCTGCTTTGACCAGTTAGTAATCCAGCTTTGCTTACCAGGCATCAAAGCTCTGGCTCTATTCTTCTCAGCATTGGCATTTTTCAAGGCTGTGCCATAGTCTCTCTGCTTCACCTGACTCTGACTGATCAACTGGAACACATTAAACAGAGTCAGTTATAATATTCACTGTGTAGAGTTACATGAGAATAGTATGATAGTGTTGGCTAAGTGCCTAAGATGTAAAGGCCAAATCATTAAGACAAGATGCCATACCTTAAACTGTTTGTCCATGCGTGTCCTGCCTGATGCTCCAGGGATCAGGAGGTCAGACACATAAGTGTGGAGGAGTTCAGAAGTCACAGAGGTGTTCCGGCTCATGATAGCCTCCACTAGAACATCATGGATGAACACATACTGCTCCTACAGTGAAGACACAGACAATATGGAATGACTGAGTGGATACTGAAAACACTGTGTGTGTGGTGTGTGTGTGTGTGTGTGTGTGTGAGAGTGTGTGTGAGAGAGAAAGAGAGAGAGAGAGAGAGTACGTTTACCTCTCTCTGAACAAGGAAGTTTCTCTGAGTCCGGACATGTTTTAGGAAACCAAGAATGTTCACTGTCCCCTGATCCTGGATCTGCTGTAGCATGCTGGCTATCACTATGTAGGTTCCTGTTCTTCCTACACCAGCACTGTAATGCACACACATTTCATGGTAAACACATGGCATATGTACAGTACATGACATATCTGAAGTAGCAGCTTGTTGTCTTTAGTATTGAAGAGGAATCTGTCTCTCTCATCCCACACACACACACACACACACTGTCTACCTGGATGGTACCAGGACAGGTCCCATCTCCTGCGTTTGGGCCTGGGAGGATGCTCTGATGAAGGACAAGACAGGCAGAGTGTATTCGGGAACACCCATGTCTGGCCACTGGGTGTAGTGGTAATGGAGGACTGTGTGATCAACTTTCCTCTGAGATGGCTGAAGGACCATAGAATGTGTCATTATGTGACCAAGCATCTATGAATAATTTGTAACTGAACATTACATTCACACTGGAATGCCACTGAAGCAACCAATCTACCTTGTTTGTAGTATCTCTGACAGTAAATGTCCGCAGTATGTAGTAAGCAAGGGTCTT